GCTTTTTCCTTGTCTCCTTGCGCACGGCCCTGTTCGCATGACCCGTCAGTCCCATTGGCCCCCGTCACCGGCTGTGCAGTCCCTGATACTAGTATTTCTATAGCATGATCTTCCACTGGTCTTGCCTCGACCAACCCCTGGTTGTTGGCTACTGGGGCCGGAGGAGCAGAGAGCCACCCAATCAAATCCACATTTTGATTCTGTTGCTCTGATTCGAATGATTCGTCAACACTGTCGTCCTCGACTGTCGCTCCCAGACCTCCCACCGCGTAAGCACCAGGACCAGGTGCTCTCCATTCTTGACGAGGTCCCTCGTCTTGGGTCCCCGAATGACTGTCACTTAGCTGCGTCCTAGTACGTCGCCTCTCAAAACCTGGATCACGGGGGTGCAACGACATCGCAAGCTCATCCACGTCAATTACTTTACCAAACTTTCGAGCTTCATGAAGGTTCACACTGTTCACACTTGCAAGTTCATCCACGTCCACGACATTGCGACGGCTCAGTCTTTCTTTAGCTCTTTCTTTGCAGGCCACGGAGGCATGCGCCGATGGAGGCTTGAGGAGATTATCATTTCCATCAGTACTGGCACCAGTACTGGTACCGATGCTTTGGCGGCGATCATGAGAGCTGTTCACCGGCGCATTTCGCGTCACCAACGATTTCTCCAGTAATACCTCCAGTATCGTGTCCGCTCTGGAATGCTGAGAGCTGTGCTGAGAGATGTCGGTCAAAGACGCTGTCGACGGCTTTTGCCTCGGCCCTTGCTCCTTCTGTTCCTTCGTCATGGTCTGCTGTCTGTTGCTCAAAATACTAAGCCAGCGGAGCTGTGTAACCTCGGCAGAAAGGTTTCAGTGTAGAAGCAGATAACTCCATTAGCTAGCTAGCTAGAAGCAGATACCTCTAGCGCTTAACTTGCGCTTAGCTAGCTAGAAGCAGATCCCCCCTAGCTAGAAGCAGATTCCCATAGCAAGCTAGAAGCAGATACCCCTAGCTAGCTAGAATCCTAGTTATATAGCGTTCACTGGCTTTAGAGTTTTTCCTGGTAGAAGCAGATCCCCCTACTAGGATGCATGTAAATAGCTTTAGCTGATTTTTTAAAGCACCATCCTAGCTCTAGGTTACTTATTTAGTTTTTGCTGACTTATTTGTATTCTAACCCTACCCTTATACCTGCAGGGACCGCCGTAGCAGGAAAAACAATTAAAGGGGTTGAGGGCTCTGGCAGCAAGACTGCCGAGGTAAAATACAAGTCTCAGAACCAAACAAATCTCGCCGGCGACTTATGTGAAGCAGCTTGTGAGCTTGTGAGGCACAGTGTCGAGCAAAAACTCGATCGGACCAGCCACATGTACCGGATCGGACCTCGGCGTACTGCTATCACCGCCCCTGCCAAAGCATCTTCGAAGCTGTGTGTACCATACCAGTAGACTACTGGAACCTGGAACTAGTACTAGTAACTACTCGAGTAGCTATAATAGTAGTGTACTAACTATGTCAGAGAGTGTGATGACCCCTGACCCAAGACCAAAGCAAAATGCAAAATGCATCTTCAAAGTTCACGCGAATGAGCCAGTGGTTCCGACAGTTCCAAGACAGTAGGATCAGGATTTAGAGGAGTTTCTCTAGCTTGGAGAACGTGCAGTCAATGGTCAAATAAATGGTCAACGTTATGATAACAATCAAAGCACCCGTACTAAGTACAGCCGTGACAATGCATCGCAACCTCGCAACCTCCCACGCTCTCTTTTCTCAGAAAAAGAAGCCAGTCGACAGTCGATGTGGTGATCGCATCAAAAGATCAAAAGCACTAGACCTCTACTAGCTAGTAGTCTACTACTCTAGTACTCTAGTAACTAGCTAGACCTCCGGTATTGCTCCTACATGTCCTTGCTGGACCGTCCGACGCTTTTCACTCAGGATTTAAAAATCTTCAAATTGCCACGACTGACAACATCTTTTGAACAACCCCTTAAACAACCCCTTAAACAACCCCTTAAAGCTTAAACATCCCCTTAAACAACCCCTTAAATAAACAACCCCTTAACAACATCCCCTTATATCCTCTAAACAACCCCTTAAGCCTTCATTGAAACACCATACAACAACCCCTTATCACGAATGAACATCCCCTTAAATAAACAACCCCTTAACAACAACCCCTTAAATATTCAACATCTCCTTAATCAACCCCTTAAAGCTTCAACATCCCCTTAATCAACCCCTTATGAGAACCAGGATTATGCGTCAGTCGTGCCCGTTTTTAAAGCCTGAGTGAAAACCGTCGGACGGTCCTGGGGGGCGGGGGGGAAGAGTGGAGAAAATCAATGCCATCCCAAGCTCATCCCATGCTGCTTTCAGTCATGGAGCCACACCTCTTTTTACCAGTACACTATTTACCACGTTTAAAAAATAAGAGTGGTTCACCGTGCCACTGTTTACCACTGCATACCCTTGTCATGGTTTACCTTGGTTGGCATGGAATGGCACTGGATTTCTCCACCCCCCAGTAAGTCAGAAAGCGACATCCCTTGGAATTTTGGCCACCAGCCACCTGACCTTTGGCCACTGGCCACTAGCATTTATTTTTAAAATCCAAGGTTTTGTTAGGACAAATCGATACAATATACAATGTCATCGTAACCAATAATAGCTCCAATAATTGACTGTCATGAAAGGGTCACCGAATTAGCCGTTGCTGTCAGGGGCATAACCGTGCCTACTAGCTAGCTACTAGCTTAGCTACTAGATCCGTGTTCTCTGCACACCTCTTTCGGGCATTCGAGTGATCCAGTGATCCATTACATGTATTGGACTCAACTCGACTCGATCGGACCTCGGACTCACTGCAGGGTGCGGTAAGCTGTGCGGTATAATACAGTAGGTACCTGTGAACGGTGTGAAGTGTGGCAACTTCACCTTGTGACCGCTGGATCTACTGTAGGGATATCTCTACATCTCTACTACCGACCACTTGGATTCTAGCAAGACTTTAGAGGTGAGGAGCCATAGAAATTGCAACGAGAAGGAGTTTGACCACGGGAGCTTCAGCGTTAGTTGTGCCATAGTGTGCCATGTCTAAAGCTGCCGCTCCGATGGTCAAAGTCTTCTTGTTGTTGATTGCATGGCTCCTCACCTTCGAGACCATGTGTGTCATCGGAGGGAGCCTCTCTTTTCACCAGATTCGGTGTCACGAATTTTCCATTTTTCCTAAGTGGAGAGAGCGAGCCGGTGCGCCGGCAGGTCAAATCCGGTCACAGATCAAATTTCACCTCACAAATTGAGTTTCTCTCATCCTCACTTTCGAACGGATTGAATATTTCGAGCATGTTATGTCACCTTTTGATACTCCGCATCAATTGCATTGCTTTCAGCGACCATGGGTATTGGTTAAGAGTAGAGTAACTCTATAGTAGTGGTTCCGGAACGATTCAACTCAACGCCTAAAGATCCGAACAGTTTATTTCGTGCGATCAGTTCAGTTCAGTCAGTCGCGATCCTCTCATAAATTCGCAACACCAACCTTTATAGCGGAAGCTATGGGAATTTGCGCATGGGCAATTGATTTGGGGATCTTCTTTATTCATCGGCAATGGCCATCTGCCGTTCGTTGCCTATCTTCACGCTCCGCTCGTTGTTCCGTCCTTCTTTGAGTGCTCCATCGATCTTCATCCTCGGTCATTCTTCCTGTGGTGTTCTTCGCTCCGTCGTTTTACCACTGTCAACCGTTCGATCCTTCCTTTTGATCCTTCCACGCTGAGTCAAGTCACCATGCCACCCAAGAAGAGGAACTCCTTCACTCGTTTCAAGAAGGGATTCAAGCCCAGAAGCAGGTCCACCTCTCCCATTCCACCACAAGTGTCTCCTCTGCCACCACCGTCTGCAGCATCAATTCCATCCGCCAGGAGCCGCTCAAGAACTCCACCACCTGGAACTCTTCTCAACCGTCACCAACCACGTCCTGCCTCCCAAGGTCCTGCAGATATCACACCTCGCAGAGAAGCAACCAAGCGCAAGGGGATATCGCCTATGGTTGAGCAATCTTCTCCCGTCATTGAAGAGCACCTTCGTCAACTCCAGCAACAGCGTCCACAACAAGAGCTTTGGGAGAGGATTGGAGCTGTTGAAACTAAAGAAGTGCAAGTCGATGATGTATCTGCCGCTGATGAAGCTTCCACCGACATTGGTTCGGAAGATGAGCTTGAGTCGCTTGGATCTTGGGATGATTGTTCTATCCCTGATGATGAGTCGCAAGATGAAGGCGACGACTTGATTGATGAAGCTTTAGATGAGCTGGCGCAAGAAGATCTTATTGACTGGGAGGTTGCACGCCACATTGCCATTGCCTTTATTTTTGTCCACGTCTTTTGTTGTCCTGATGAGTCTGAATGGGATGGTCGGAATGGAGTGCATTCCCAAATCAGGAAGATGCTAAGCATTCCAAAGGGAACTTCCATCCGTTATGTCTTTGAAGACATTACCAAGTGTCAGACTGCAGGGACGAAGTATCGTGGTCGTCGTCAAGCCCTTGGAGAGACCCGGCCTGTCAACATTCCCAACGACTCGGTGGAAGCCCAGATTGTCGCTGATGTTTTGGAGGATGGATTCAGTTTGATGCAAGCTACGAGGCAAGTCAACCATCATCTGAAGGAGACGGAGCAGCCATTGGTATCCTTCTCCTCCGTTTGGCATCTCTCCAAGCGACTCAAGCCCTTGGTCAAGCCCATCAAGCGTCTCAAGCAAGGGAGCACCGACAAGGAGTCTGCTTGGGCTCAAGCTCGCTACAATTGGTCGATCCAACTCATCATTCGACTTGGATTGAGTGCTAAGCTGACTGACAAGGCGTGGGCTCACATGCGAGCACAAGGTGTTGGAGGTTGTATTACAGACACCTCAATACAAATTATTCGTTTATCCCAATCTAGTTATAGGGGATATCTATATCTATTCTCTAGTTACATACATGGGGAGTTTAACTGATCTATATGGTCACCCCCTTCACTATATCCTTTGAAGTTGAATCAATCCCAGAAAAACATGGAGAAAGATCACTTCTTGGAAATAGCTTAACAGTAAAACAGTATTTTACCTTTACTAAGCTAGAGTGTTACTAGAAACCAACACTATTTCCAAGAAGATCAACATCTCGAATTTGAGATCTCGCCAATGGCGACATCGATATCAATATCATCCATTTAGTTCATGCTAAGGTAAAGACCTCACCAAACGGTCCAGACAGTGCGGTAGCCCCACTATAAGGGCTGCCAAAACAGCTCAACAGGCGAAATTCCGCATCACGGGATCGCTGCCACGACGCAGTGACTGCTACCAGTACACCGGAGGAAGCAATCGAACGACATCCAACCGGAATCAGTCAGATCAGATCCAAGTGTACTGCACGAAAGAGCATTAAAAACTAAACCATTTGCATGCTTGAATCATATCCATTCAACAGAAACTGAGTGAGTTACGGCTGATTGAGCCAAGAGACTACTGTACGAAGCTAGGGCTACTACAGAACCAAGTGGTCGTACGAAGCCTACAGGAGTGACACGACGAGTGTCAGCCGAAACGCAAGGTACAAGCGAGCTCACAGGAGTGAGCCAGAAGCAAGCTCACTGAAGCCAAGCTCCGGAGCAACGAACTAAGCTCGCAAGAGTGAACAGAAAGGCTATTGCGGTTTGACCGTACCAAGCCGATCTAAAAGCAAGATCAGCTCACAGGAGTGAACGAACGGAGCACGAGCATCCAGCTCACAGGAGTGAGCAGGAAACAAGCTCACAGGAGTGAGCAAGAAACAAGCTCACAGGAGTGAGCAAACACCAAGATTTATGCTGCGGAAACAGCAATCGTAATACGAAAACCAACTACAAGACCGAAGAGTTTGCGCTGTGGAAACAGCCATCGTACGACTGCCAAGTGCAGGTACCTACGAAAAACAACTACAAGACGAAGACTTTGTGCTGCGAAAACAGCCATTGTACGACTGCTAAGTGCAGGTACGAAAAAACAAATACAAGAGTGGCGCCACAGGTTGCCACGAAGACCAAGCTTGCAAGGAAGCTAGTAGGACGACTAGCTAGCTAGCTAGGAGTCCAACAGGCAAACGGAGCTACCGGTTTGAAGAACCGGAGCGAATACCCTTGCTACTGTACGTACGGAAGAGCAGAGACGATACTGCGGCCGTACCAAGCCTACATTAGTGTTGCCACGAAAGAAGAGCAACACGGACGCAAGTGTTGCCACGAAGAGGAACTAGATAACAAGTTCCAACAAGAAGAGGAATTACCACAGAGGTACTTCCGTGGGAGAGTTCCTATCCTCAACAAGAGAGCCATCGAAATAGGCTACTAGAAGAGAGGTGCGAAGGAAAATTCCAACGCATAACAAGACGAATTACCAGGCCAATTACACGGCAACGGCAGGTCCTACGGCAGGACTGTCATACAACAAGGTGTCCTTTGAGCAACAGAGGACAAGGCCTGAAGAGTGCAAGACCTGGTAGCCAACCAGGAACGAGTTGCATCCATCGGCAACAGGCTGGATAAGAGCAAATTTGCGAGCGAATTCCACCAGCAAACAAGAGTGTGCTACTGTCGGCAAGCAACAGCATCAGCCAACGAGCGATCGAACGGCCGAAGCTGAGGCTACTGCTACAGCTACACGAACGACGCTACGGCGACAACAAGAACAACGGTGGCTACCACTAGCCATCCGCTACAGCGACAAGAAGAACAAGAAAAGCCGACCGCTACCACTAGCCAGTCGCTACTACTAGACAGTCGGTGCCGATAGCGGCAACAGCGCCATTGTGTCTGTCAATCGACAACAGCAGCATCAACAGTGTTGGCAGCAAGAAGAAGTGCCGACACAGAGCACAAGATTTTTTGTGAGGAAATCACTGACAGCGCAACCAGTTCCACGGAACGACAAAGAACAGCCTGTAGTTCAGCGAGCGACCACAAGAACGGCAGAGCCACTGAACGGGAAAAGGTATCTTTTCTCGAAAAGGTATCTTTGCAGGAGTGTACGGCGCAAATCTCTCCGTACATCGGTAAACAAGAGGACTCTGTGGCAAATCCAAGCCAAGTCTCCCGTCGTACCATACAGCTAGCTAGCTAGCTAGCTAGCTACTGGTACGGAGCGAAGCACATCCAGTGCAAGCCACTGGAGCAGTGCAAGCACAACAGCAGCTGAAGGAAGCACAGGAGTGCCTTCCACCAGCATTGAATATTTTCTTTGGAGTTGTTTGAGTTTACTCAACACCTCCTACCCCTTTCATGGAGTGTGTATTGTGGCATCCAAGCCACAGCACCTCCTACTACCAATTTGTGGAATGTGTATTGTGCAACTAATCCACAGCACTTCCTCCACTGATTACAGGCAAACCTGAGGCAACACCAGCCTCTAGGTAGGCAACAACAGATACCATTACAAGACCAATCCCTTGCTATTTGATCACAGCAAGTGCACAGGAGTGTGAGGGTACCCAAATCCAAAACCTACAATCCTACAAACAAAATCATCATAACATCCGCCTTTATAGGCAATGCCGTAACCATCAATGGCCACAACTACACGGCCAACAACCATCAATGGCTACATCAACAGCCAGCATCGATGGCAACAACAGCCAACAACGGTATCTACGGCTACCAAACCGATTACAACGAAATCGACACCAAACCAAATTCGAATTGCATCTACAATAACGGCAACTGCAACAACAGCAGAACGACAGTGAACGTTGAACCGAGTAGCTAGCTACAAGCAACTCAAGAGTTCACAAGACAAGGAACC